CTGCCACCTTCAATTGCTGTTCCATATTGGTTTTTACTGAGTACTTTTTACCGCAGAGATAGAAAAGGCCCTGTCTTTACAAAGCTACGGCATCATCAAACAGTGCAATCTGGAGCGGAGTGGCGGGTTGTGATGGGGTCCAACAGAGGGAAGGAACTGAGCACTAGAGCCACCCTTCACCATCCCGCTGAGCTCCCTGTGGCCCGCAGAGTGGCATCCACAAGAAATTTCATTATGGTTTACTGCTGTCTTTAACATGGTTTACTTGTTTTCCAATGCAACTTCTTTGCGAGATATTCAAGGAGAAGAGTCAAGCAGATTCCACAATATCTAATACAGTTTCTTATTCTATCTCAGACATTCCAGAAATACCACCTTTCAGGGACACTATGATGTCACCGATTGCACAATGCATACCAATTTCTAGACATAGTAAAATGTTTTTAAGAAAGCATATCATAAAAATCAGTGAAATACAGTAGTTGTTGGAATAGGCCAGAGTGAGTTTATGGCTCCTGCCTCAGTCCATGCTGCAATTTCATATCTACCCTGCATTATCCATAAAATCTAACTCGTTGGTGTCCAAGGGGCTTAAAACCCGATCCTAGAAATAAATCCTAGAACAGCAGAGTGTGAACGTGCCCTCGGTCCCAGCACACACACCAGTCACGCCACGCTGCACTGTGCGCCCTGGGAAGGACGGGAAGGGGTGGGCAGCCTGAATTCCTCCTTTGCCCTGCATCTGGAGCTTTATGTTCCTGGCCTCCATCTTTACAGTACTCAAAACTCGTTTGGAGAGTAATTATGAGACTTTACGCCTTGGGCTCTGGGCCTTGTGCAACACAGATCTAAGTTTTACCTGGTTCCTAAAGAACACCCTTCCCCTCCCCTGCCCTGGGTGGGAGGACAAGACTGCCCCGTGTAGCTTTTTTGTCCCCAGGGGACCCTGCAAAATGTGTGTGGTGCCTCAGAGGTCTTCATGCAGCTACATTCCTTCTTCAAAAGTACTCAATCATAACGTGTTGTCGTCCTTAGCTTTCCCTAAGCAGAGCAAAACAGCGTCTGAGTAGATAGTAAATAAATGCAGACATATAAGTGTCAAATTGAAACACATTTCCACATGCATCATAATGGTTCTTTTCTCCTTATACAGGAGACCAACCAACATGGAGACTCAGATTCACAGGAAGTCGATAAAACCCCATCCAAGTGTTTTGTCTTGCTTTGTTTCCTTTTCTTTTCTTTTACACAGGGTCTCCCTATGCAGTTTGGGCTGGTCTTGAACTCATTATGTAGCTCAGGCTTGGCCTCCAACTCAGAGGTCCTCCTGCATGGTAAGATAATAGGCACTGCTGCGCTGGGACCTGTCTAACTTTTTAACTCTTGATTTCCTAAAACTGAATAAAATGCAAAGAAGGGGAAGGCTAGAAGGAAGTTAGGGATTATAATTTCTCTTCCCTCCAAGCAGAGCCCAGCATAGGCTGAGGGAGGAGGGTGTCTTAGCAAGCAGGGTCTTCTTTTTTTTTTGGTAGTGGGGACCAAATGTAGGACCTTGCCCTTTGGCACTTGCCAGGCAGGCACTTATGCCACTGAGCTATCTCCCCGGCTCTAAGCAGGATCTTCTGAGTGGTCCCTAACACTTGCTAGTGGCTCCAACATACGGCCCCCAGTCAGTCCCTCCCCAGTTTTCCCCAGGGTTACTTGGGTGTGGTCTGGACCTCACAGTCCTGTACCCCTGGAGGACACAGGATGTGGCTGCCTGGTTACTTTAGGACAGAGCCATGTTTCAAAAGATGGGCACCTCGCCTAGTACAGTCTCCAATCCCGGAAAGCACATCAATCCAGATCACAGACCTAACCTGGGGCTGTGAAGACAGAGTCTTGGTGTAAAGGACTATGTTGTTTTTGGTTGTCTTCCCCTCCCATGGGAAACTGAGCTCAGGACTTTACACTTGCCAGACAGCTACTGCATTGCTCAGCTATATTCTTGGCCCTAAAGACCATTTGTGATGTCCCTAATTTAGGTCTCCTTTTACAATTTGTGGCTGTTTTTTTCCTACTTGGTCCCATCTTGATTTTCCTTACTTAGCTGCTTTATCTTTGTATTTTAAGCCTTAGTCCCTTAAAGTCACTTGGCTTTTCTTCTACTACAGGTTCTGATTTCTAATTTTGAGGGCAGTATCTGTCTCCTGGGGGGTAAATACTGAGGAAGTCCTAAGGCGGCTTTATCCTGCACACCTAGCTGTTGTGTTTGAGAAAGATGTGTATGAGCGCATGGGTATGCAGTGTTTCCACCCTTGTGACCATCATTCTGTGGCGATAGAAAGGTGGAGGGAGATTGTGGCACTCCACGTGCACAGGGCATGTCCACCCAGTGATGGCTTTTCAGGTGGTTTCCTTGGCAACAGACTTGCTAATCCTGCCCACACAGAGACACATACTTACCAGTAACTGAAAAAAGCACATAATTGGTTTTGTGCAGCTACTAGAATATTGCTGTAACCTGCACCAGTGCTGAACTCTTCAGAACCAACTTCTTAAGGGGACCGAGCACCTCTTCCAAAATTTTGAAAAATGTTTGCATTTCAGGAGAATCAAAGTGTCCAGAAGGACCTCAGGAGCCAGGTAGCCACCTCCCCTGTTGTACAGATAGATCTGAGGCCAGGTAAATGACACAGGAGTTCCTGTCCCTGGTCTTGGTGCATCCCACTCTACCAAGACCCTGAGCTTGAGCCCCACCCCCCAGCTAGCAAGCATGCAGTGTGGGGACAAGGACAGCTTAGCATTGCTGTGTGTTCCCTCTCCTCCAGCACGGCAGGGAGTACACCACATGTTTGCCAGTGCCTGACCCCAGTGTCCTCGGCACCATCATATTGATGGATAACATGCTGAAACACAGGAGGGCATCTCTTGCCAGCGACCCGTGAGTGGGGGCAGCCTCAGGCATCAGGAACATGGAGAACCTGGAAGTTACAAACATCCCATATTGTTTTGTCCCTGTGTTTTATAGTCAAAGAGACAACATTCACTGGGCATGGTGGCACATGTCTGTTATCGCAGCACTCGGAGGCTGAGGCAGGGTGATCAAGCCTTTGAGCCCAGGCTGGGCAAATTAGCAAGACCCTGTCTCAAAAGTCTGGGCACACAGGTCGGCGCAAAGGCCCTGGGATCAATCCCCAGTACTATCTTTGCTTATATTTGACTAATGAAATTCTTCAGTGGTAAAAAACACATAAAAGTAGGGGACTAACAAGTACATATAAGCATTTAAAAATAACATGTGAAGTGTGTACTAAATGCCCTCAGCACATGTCACACCTCAGGAATAAGTGAGCATTGGGAATGGGGCTGCCTCGTTCCAGCATCTAGAACGCGCCCCTGACAGGAGGATGCATAGAAACCCAACTATGTTCACACCTTCACTCAGATTAAGTAAATCTCAGTTTTTGTATCCATTTCCTACTAGCTGTGCATTTGCCCATAGTTTTAGCCCCTTTCTTGGACATTGTCACGGTCATCTTGGCTGTGGGTTAAGATGACACAGAATAGGAATCCATTTCAGCAGATAGAATTGATTTCAACTTAGTTTGACTTTCTTGTTTTCCATCTCCAGAAGAATGCTGTTGCCCTGAAGCAGAGTGTGGGCTCCTAACACATCTCCTGGAACGTGCCTGTTGTGTTCACTTCTGTATTGTTTATTTGTCCTTTGTAACTTACTGTTACTTGTTCTGAATTATATTGCATTTTCATTTTGGCCACAGCACTCCCTCAACCAGCAGTCCAAGCCCACCCGAGTCCGATACTTTTCCCTACATTATTTTTAGCCTTATAAGGACTGTGCCCAGGAGGATAGAGCGACTGTACCGTCACACAGAAGACAGCTTCCTAAGTAATGATGCATCGTAGACCCTGACCCTGGGGGTGTGGTACAGAAGCCTCTTCGTGCTGACATGAAATTTCTCCCCCAAATCAATCCAGATTCCCAGCTCCCAGGAGCAGCAGCTTAGGTTATGTTATGGCTTTCATTTGCTATGTCTGGTTACTCTGCAAAAGCATGTGCAGTAAAACCTCCCCCTCTGGCCTGCATCTGCTCTTTAAAACACTACAGTGTTGGAGAGTCCAGCAAAGTGTTTCCATCTAAGCAAAGTACATCAGGCCCAAGTCCTGTCCGTCAAAGCAGTGGCGCATGCTCAGCTTCTTGGGAGGCTGAGGCAGGAATCTTGCTGGCTGATTCCGAGGCCCATCTGGCAACACCATGAGACCAGGTTTCAACAAATAAACTAAAAGCTGGGGAGGTAGCTCAGCAGTCTAAGCACCTGCTGGCTAGCACAAGAACCCAGGTTCAATCCCTGGTACCACATGTCATGCCCACCCCAGAACCCATTCTGGCCCTGAAACCAGGTGTGGTGGGATTACACCTGTAATCCCAGCGATGGGGAGGCTGAGACAAGAGGATCACTACCAGTCCAAGCTGTGTAGCAAGACTCTGTACTAAATTATTTTTTTAAAATTAAAATAAACCAATCACACACACCCTAAACCAATGCAGGAGTCTGTCTCCTCCTGCCCTACCACGTCCTGCTCTCTCTGATCCCTTGCCTTTGTCATCTAAGGACCCAGTGATCATCTTGGGCACCCCAGTAATCCTGGGTGACCACCTCAGCTCAAGACCCTTGGCACCATCGCATTTGCAAACTCCCTTGGCTGTATAAAGTAACAGCCACAGGTCCTACGAGAAGAAAGCAGACATCTCTGGGGATGTCACTCAGCTGACCACAGGACCACGACCTCACTGTCCATGACAGTTTCCTGTGACCACCCAGATCTGGCCAGTTCTGCATGGCAGGGGTGTTTGTGGGTGGGCCTGCAGGTGCCCTGCAGTGACCCACAGCCCAGCTTTCCCCCAGCATGCCAGCCGGGTCTCTGCCCCTCCGCTGGGCAGCCAGACCTGTCACAGCAGCATCCCAGGACAGTACATGTTCCCATTCTTTCCTTTACAGCATTGTTGCGGTGTTGGGAACCCAGGTGTCAGCAAGCTGAGAGGGAAACTGAGGCAAGATGTCTGGCCGGAGCGGGAAAAAGAAAATGTCCAAGCTGTCCCGGTCAGCACGGGCCGGAGTCATCTTCCCGGTGGGCAGGCTGATGCGTTACCTGAAGAAAGGGACATTCAAGTACCGGATCAGCGTGGGTGCCCCTGTCTACATGGCGGCGGTGATCGAGTACCTGGCAGGTAATGCAAGCCCCGAGGGCCAGGCGGGGGCCAAGTCACCTGTGCCTGGCTCAAGGACACGGCGGGTGGTGACAGGGTCCACGTGACCTGTGTGCTCATGGAGCATCTGCTAGCTTCCAGGAAGAGCAGAGGGCGTAGGAAGGACAGAGATCAGTACAGAGCACAGAGGAGCCCCGGGGAGGGCCCTTCCTGCCCTCCCCTGGATGAGATGTGCCTCGCTTAAGCAAGCGCAGTACACAAACCATCTAGGACCCTAGAGAAGAGAAACTACCAGGAGGGCTTTGCAAAAGTGGATCCTTGGGGCTGGGGAGATGGCTTAGTAGAATAAGCACTTGCCTGGAAGCACAAGGGCCTGAGTCCAATCCCTGGCTCTGAAAAAAAAAAAAAAAAGTGGATCCTTATTTTAAATCAACTTGCTCCTTCCACGTCACTTTTCCTTGCTGGGGTAATGGTGAGCATCTGTAATGTCAGTACTTAGGAGGCTGAGCAAGGAGGGTCATGAGTTCAAATCCAGCCTGGTTTATATAGTGAGACAGTCTCAAAAAAAGAAATCAGTTTTCCTAATTTTTGTATGACAACCAGGATTCAAGGTCCATCAGTAATGCCCCTCTCAATATCAAGGCATTCTTAGATGATTCCGTGGAGGCTCTGATTTTGCCCCTCTTTACTGAAATGGTCATTTTTCTGTGGGGACATACCCTGTTGTTAAGTATTTTTTTCACTAAAAGGTAAGATTTTGAGTGTGTGTGTGTGTGTGTGTGTGTGTGTGTGTGTGTGTGTGTTATATCTAGTTAGCTTTTCTTAGTTGTTTTATAGTTAAACAGAAACCAAGCTTCATGGTATTAAGGCTTCTATTTAAGAAACATATATAGGGGCCGGGGAGCTGGCTCAGTGGAATAAGCACTTGCCTGGCAAGCACAGTGGCCTGAGTTCAATCCTTGGTTCCTCAAAAAAAAAAAAGAAAAGAAAAGAAAAGAAACATATATAGAAATAAAGTATATATGAGTTTGGCATGCTGGCACACTCCTGTAAATCCTAGCACTCAGGAGGCTGAGGCAGGAGGATTGCTGCAGGATTGACCCAACCTGGGCTACATAGTGAGTTCAAGACCAGCATGAACTACATAGTGAGACCCTGGCTTAAATGAGGGGGAAAAAAAGGTAAAACTCTTGAAAACACAGAGACAGGCAAGGACTTCACAACCAAAACCCCAGTTGCACAGAAATAATACCTAGAATCAACAAATGGGATTGTATCAAATTAAAAACATTCTACATAGCAAAAGAATCAAGAAATAGAATGAACTTGAATCTGTACTTCCGATTTGATTTGAAACTGTCTCATTGCTATCTGTTTATCAATAAAATTTTGAAAAAAAAAAAAAAGAAATAGAGTGAACTGACAACCTACAGAATGGGAAAAACTTCACCGGCTATTCCTAGAAAGAGGACTAATATCTAAAATGTATCAACAACTCAATTAGATTCCCTCCAACATAAATGACAATCAAAAAACTGAAAAACAGAAACAATCAGCCAGGCGTAGTGGCGCACGGTGTAATCCCAGCACTTGGCAGGATGAGGCAGGAGGGTGGGTATGAATTCGAGGACAGTCTCGGCCACACAGTGAGTTCAGGACTTTGCAGCCTGGGGCTGGAGACCAGAGCTTGTTCGGAGTGCGTTTCCTGGCTGTATCACCAGGGTCCGACTCACTGGGTTTGAGGAAGGACCAAGAAATGGGCTGGGGAAATTTCCCTGCTCAGCTCGTGGAGGGCCAGGAAGGACTTTGAGACCAGTCGACAGAGCTTCAAAACAACCCAGGGAGGCCAGAAGAGGCCGGGCAGCCCTCAGAGCCCTCAGCTTCCGAGAGATGAGCTGGGATTCCAGGCCCCCTGCCGCAAGCTGGGCACTTGGTGCTATCCTGACATGCGCTGGTTTTTCAATAATGAAAATAAGTAAGTATGCATTTCCAGTGTCACCATTTGGCAAGACTCTGAGCTTCAGTACATGCACAAAATGTAACCTTTTATTTTTGAAAGGAGTTGTTATTTTGAGACAAAGTCTTGCTATATAATTCCAAACTGGCCTTGAATTTGCTGTGTAGCCCAGACTGGCCTCAAACTCACAGCAGTCTCCCGCCTCAGCCTCCACAGTACTGGGATTACAGGCGTGTGACCACACCCAGGTACAAAATGTGTCATGAGTCCCCAGCCTCTCCATTACTCAGCCAGGTGTGTCAGATGGAGAAGCTTGGGCAGTCCCAGCCTTTCTGCTGCCATATTTGCTGAATGTCTGTGTGTCTGAGCACACAGCAGTCCTCACACTGGGAGGCTGGGGACAGAACTGGCCATGGGCAGGAAAGGTGAGGCTGGCAGGGCGGAGTCACCTGCAGAGAAGGTGAGGTTGGCCTTCCCAGGCCAGGCCTGTCCTCACTGTGTCTTCTCCCTCTCCTCTGTTCTCCCCTCCACGCTCAGGCTGGACTTGAGCAGATACAGGCTTAGATCAGTTCAGACCTGTACTTCACTTTGCCAGCGCTGGTAAATGAACTAGTGGCTGTTCCTGGAGTGTGAGATGCTCTAGTTTGCCAGGCGAGGTAGTGTGTGTCTGTAACCTCAGCACTTCGGGAGGCTGAGGCAGAAGGATCACAGATTCAAAGCCGTGGCCCGAGCAACTTGGTGACATAGTGAGACACTGACTCAGAATTTAAAAAGAAAAATTAAAGTGGGGGTGGCAGCGTTTGAGCTCAGTACTCAGGAAATAATTCTTTAAAAAGAAACTCTTTTTCATGTCCCACTGTTAGGGGCTCATAAAACCATTCGGGCAAGGTATAAATGACATTCTGTGAAGGTGGTGTATTTTCAGGCTAAATTTGCATTTTAATGAGACAAGGAATTTAAATCTGAATTTCACTGATTTTAATCACATCAGTGGAACTAGAGGCCACATTGAGTACATGTGCGAGGGAGTTGTTATTCAAAGGGACATCAACTGAGTTGTTGAAAGAGGGGGGCTCAAAGTGCAGAAGCTGCCTGTTCCCCTTGCAATGACCTTCACATTTGTGCACAAATCCTGACTGATGCCACCTTTAGATCTGGTCTTCAGGATGTAGGCACAGAAGCCTATTTGGTCCACCTCGGCTGGGCACAGAGCCTATGGGGAGGCCGTTGCTAAACGCATAGTAATGAGATGGGGTGCATAATGAGAAGAGTTTTAGGAAGTCTGGGGAGCAGAGGTGGGGAAAGGCACTACCTCAGGAAAACAGGTCCTCAAGATTTAAAGCAGGTTCTTAGCCCTGGTCTTTCTCAAGTCAATGAGTTGCAATCCTGGTGCTGTGTCCAACCTGTAGGGATGCTGGGGTACGTTCAAGCTGCCCTCAGACGATTCCGATGGGCAGCCAGCATGGGGGGTTAGGAGGACTTAACTAGGTTCAGAAGGGCTGGCTGAGGTAGGGCAAGATGGATGAGGAGGCGGGGAGGGGGAGGAAATGTGTGGACCCTCCAGGAGCTAAGCAGGTGCTGGTGCCCAGGGCAGTGAGAGACAAGGGACAAGAAGGGCAGAGAGACAAGGGCTGGATTCTGGCGGCCCCTGGGCCTTGTGGAGGATGTGCACATTTTACACACACAGCTGGGGTATTGAAGCCAGAGCTGACTTTGGGAGCGTTAGGTAGAGAACCATTGGCAGGGAGCAGGGTGAGTGGCCCTGAGGCCCGTGGGCACTGTTCAGGTTCACTGTGGGAACAGCTTGGGCTAGGGGTGCACTGAGGGGAGGGTGAGAAGAAACCCCATCTGGGGGAATCAGCTCTGCACACCACCAGCTAGGCAGGTAGGCAGGGGGACAAGGATGATGCTGGTCTCCAGGCTTAGCCTGGCTGCTTTCTCCCAGGCCGGGCTGCATGGGCTGCAGTGTGGACATGTGGACCAGGGAGTGCGTGTGAGAGTCCAGCTCAGAGGAGATAGGAAAGCAGCTCTGGGTTGGGCAGGCAGCGGTGGAGGAGAAACGGGAGGCGGCCTGCAGAGCTGCATCTGGGATCCCATGAGGGCGGGTGGCAGGAAGATGTGCTGGGGCCCTGGTGCGGCCAGGCGGGAGCCGAGAAGCTGAACTCAGCTACAGAGAGACTCACATAGAGTGCTCTGCTCCGCCCGGCACAGCGTAGCCGCGCCAGATGCCTGGGCCTCTGTCATTAAGGAAAGACTGCCGAGGCGTACCTGGCTGGAGGCACAGACATGGCGGGAAGGCCATGGGAGTGAGCGAGAGCAACTCGGTGGGCCCAGGACCCAGACCCTGAGAGCGACATTGGAGTGCCAGGCTGCTGGCATTCACACTGAGCTACATCTCCAGCTCTTTTTTGGTTTTTGTTTTCGATCCTCCTCCCTCAGCCTTCCAGAGCCCTGGGGTGATAGCATGTGCCTCCACGTTTGGCATATTTTATGTGTTTACAGCCAATTCTGATGCCTATTTAGAGGGACTACTATTAAAAAAAATAGCAAGCCTAGGGGTCAGATAGCTTGGCGGTCTAAGCACCTGCCTGGCAAGCACAAAGACCTGGGTTCCATTCCCGGGGCAGGCTCCAACATTCGGGCAAACCGTGCCAGCCACCAAACCAGGGATGGTGGCACATGCCTTTAATCTCAGTGCTGGGGAGACTGAGGCAGGAAGATCACTTCGTGCTTAAGGCCAACCCGGACTACATAATGTGTTCAAAACAACGTACATAGTAAGACCCAAACTACATAGCAAGATCCTGTCTCAAAAATTAAAATAGTTTATAAAATAAATGCTACGTATACCCCATACCCCACAATTTTTGTAAATAGATCAAATACCTTATTCTGAGGCAGGTCTTTGGGCTCCAGCAGACTGTCAAAGGGTTGGTGACACATGGTCCTATAGGATGAGGAGAGGCTGGCATCCTGGGGGTGGGAGCTCACAGGGAAGCCAGGACCCCAGGGAGCTGCTCACGCCCATGTCCTCCTTCCTGTGGGGACACCAGTACCTCGCAGGTGCTCCGTGTTAGACACAGGCACAACTCCTCCATCACTCTATGGCCAGATCCTGAGGCCGACCATGCCCTTCATCCTCAGCTGACCTGACCTCCAGAGCTGGCCCAGCCATCTCCTCTCATGTTCTCACCTGTGGTTTCCGGAGGTCACTGCCCCAGCAGCCACAAGGGACAGAAACAGCCAGCAGGAGAAAGCGAGGAGCGGCCCAGGTCTCCAAGGGGCGGTGGGTGCCACCTGCCTTGCCTGACACCAGCCTCAGGGTCATGTGTGGCCCAATGTCGGTCCCAAGGTCCCTTCCCCCAACAGCACCCCTCATGTTCACACGTCAGGCTCCTGGTCCAACGTATTTTGACAAAGCAAGTAAGTCTTAAGTCAGTAGTATAGTGCCTGCTTAGCATGCCTGAGGCTCTGGCTTCAAGCCTCAGTACATAAAAAAATAATTTAAAAAACAGGTGACTTTCAGGACACCTCTTTAAATCATTGTAAAACCCATCATTCACTCACCAATTCCAGATAACAGGGTCTTTTACAAGCACTTTCTTTTTTTCTTTTCTTTCTTTTTTTTTTTTCCATTTATGTATTTGGTACACAGTCTTACTACACAGCTCGGACTCATAGTGGTCTTCCTGTTTTTAGCCTCCCCATTGTTGGGATTGCAGGCATGCACCACCACGCCTGGCGCCTGTGCAGCTTGCAGGACCAGGGTTCGAACCCCGGCCCTTGTGCTTGCCTAAGCAGATGCTTAGTCCACTGAGCTATCTCGCTGGCCCTAACAGCGCTTCTTATCTAAACATTTTTATTTAATGCATTTGTGTTGTGCAGCCAGGACCATAAGTTTACTTGGTTGTGAACGCGGTACACCCCACAGCAGCACTCGTTTAAAGGAGTATCATTCGCATCACAGACAGCAAAAATTTGTGTTTGTTATGGGAAGTTACAGTAGGTGGCAGTGAAGAGTCCGCTGGAAGGGCCCTGCTCTGGGGATGGAGAGCTCATTTAGCCAGCCTTTCCTTACCTGGTCTGGAAGAGAGAAGCTTTACTTTGGTAATGACAGGAAGAGGAAGAGAAAGGTGTGTGTGATTGATGAGGCCCTAGGGAACCCTTGTAGAGGAGAGAGGGTGGGACAAGCCAAGACCCGAGAGACATGGGAGGAGCTGGCTCGGGGAAGTGACTTTGATTTGGGAGGTGGTGAATTTGATCCATGTGAGGAATCCTGGGGGACATTCCAGGTGGCATCGTGGTGGAGCAGGAGGGACAGTGAATTCACACAGGCAGACAGTGGGAGCCAGACCCTTACATTACATGGGAACATCTCCCCCTGAAAGCTCCATAGTGCTGAGAGCAGCAGACACCCCCCCTTCATGAGCAAGTGGACAAGGATGACTTGGCCAGGAAGGAACAGAATCTCAGGGCTGTCCCCTCCGTGTCCTCTGTACCAACCCGCGTTTAATGTTGTTTCCCATCTGAGGGCTGGAAAATCCAGTGTTGGCTTAAATTGTCTATAAAATGAAAGACATGGACGCCCAAAATAACATGCATGAGCCTGACAACAGTACTTGGGCTGAAGACACTTGGCCAGCCACTCACCGTGTCCCACACGGTCACTGCTGCTGGGGGTGTGCCACCCAAAGTGAGGACTCCCCTGCAGCTGCCGAGGGCTTGTGCAGGTGTAGCAGAATGGTCTCCCCTCAATATTTGCAGTAAAGTCAATTTGTATAGATCCCTTTTCCTGTGAATCACCAGGACAAGGGGTTTTCATTGTACCCAGGATCAATAAAATCACTCAGGAATGTAGCAAACTTCTATCATTTTTGCAGACATAGTAACATTTGAAACATTTGAATGAATAGTGACTTACTTCACGGCCAGGGAGATAGCTTAGTAGAATAAAGGCCTGCCTGGCAAGCACAGGGTCCTGAGTTCAATTCCTGGTACCACTAAAATAAATAAATAAATAGTTACTTATTTCAGACATGTAAATGCTGAAGACACCAGACTAAAAATGCAAAAGACATAAAAATCATTTGACCTAGGTTATTCTATGCATGTAATATTGAGAAAGGTTTTTTTCCCTTTTTTATCTTTGATTCTGGGGTGTGTGTGTGTGTGTGTGTGTGTGTGTGTGTGATTTTTTTTGTTGTTATTGTTTGCCTGTCTGACTGATTGTTTGGTTTTGTGAGGCGGGGTCCTGCTCCAGCTTACCTCACACTTGCAGTCCCCCTGCCTCCACCTTCTGAGCACTGAGGTGACAGGTGGTACCACCAGGCCCAGCAAGAAGTTTTTTGTTTGTTTGTTTTGTTTTTGTGGTACCAGGGATCAAACTTAGGACCTTGTACTTGCCAGGCAGGCACTCATTGCACTGAGCTATCCCCAGCCAGAGAAGTTTTTAAAGAAGAAGGAGTCCTGCTGCGTTTGCACTAGAGCATACACCCAAGGCTCTCTTTGCCACACAGTATCTCACAGTTATTTCAGGATCCCAGTTGCACATCCAGCCTCGCCCGTGGGGCCTACATGTGTGCTGGGTCGCTGCCTTCAAGTCTCTTCCGGTGTTGCCTTCAATTCCTGCCGCTTCACAGTCTGTGGATCTAGTATCTGTGCCTGTCTGACAAGCTGAAAGCAGCCTCATCTTCCTGGGGTCTTCCTGGTGGCCGCAGGGACGCAGGGTTCCCAGGGAAAGCCTCCCTACAGGCTCGGGGTTAACTTGACCAGCTGCAGGCGGAGGCTACCCTCTGCCTCTCACAGCAGGTACCAAGAGGAACAGAGATTGCATCCAGGATGCCGAATGCCGCTCAGCTGCTCAGAATCTTTAAATGAGCTTGATTCTCCCTTCTAGAGAAAGGCGAGGGGAGCGCTCCCGCCCAGGTGTGGGCCCCAGACAAGGCCAGGCTCCAGGACGCTGCGGGGCAGCACACCCGAGTCGTGGTGCCTGGCGGGGAGGAGCCACTTGCTTTAACCCGCAGTCCTCTGCTAGCTGTCCTCTGCTAGCTGTCTGCCTCTTGTGTAGTTTTTTGGGGGCCACAACCTGAATGCGGCAGAACAAATTATCTCCATGACATTAACTTCAAACATTCTGTCCCTTTGTCTCAAAAATATGCTCATACATCTCAAATTGTAATGCTCCAATTTTTGATGCAAAAAACACAGTCACTGTATAAATGAGTTGTTGCTAAACATAATATTCAGTGCTTACTAATCGGGGAAGGATGTGAGAATGAATTTGCAAGGATTTAGCACTTTTCATTATGGAAATGCCACATAAATATTTAAGTCTAATGTTTATTTTATTCTAATTTTTTGTTAATCACATTTGCTTAGTTAATATGGGCATGCTTATGCCAAGCTTTTATTATTGCCATAGATTTTGTGAATGATGGCAATTTCATGTGCTATTTTATTTGAAATTAGGTTGATTGTAAAGCCTTAGAATTGCCTGTTAATTTTAGGAATTAGTAGTTACATTATTGTGTGAGCAAATCTCTTCAAAACACACACCCACACCTGCCTATACACACACACACACACACACACACACACACACACACACTGTTCATACAAATGCACATACACACTTTTTAGGGAGACAATATACTGGCATCTTATTTATCTCCAGCTTTCTAAGGGAAGGAATCTTTCTGTAAAGCCTCATTCATACCAATTTTAAGCAAATTTGACTCGCACCTGTAACTCCAGCATTCAGAAGGCTGAGGCAAGATCTATACAAGTTCGAGACCAACCTGGACTGCGTAGTGAGACTCTGTCACCAAAAATAGAATAATTTTTTTAAAAATGAGGGAGAAAGAAAAATAACCCAAAATAAAAAAAACAGGGGCCAGGGAGATGGCTCAGTGGAATAAGTGCTTCCCTGGCAAGCACAAGGGCCGGAGTTCAATCCCTGATTCTACAAAAATAAAATAAAAGAAAATAAAAAATAAAAAGACGAAGGAGAAAAGCACAGAGGTGATATAAACCAATTCTATAAATTTTTATTAGGTGACATTTTGGTAGCATGTAAAGTAGCTTTGGGGACAATCTCTTTTATTCACATTTACCAAATCCTATGTTTGTTAAAACCAAAGCAGGGCTTGACTCCTTCGAGACACATGGAAGCCCCCCAGGCCCCAACCTGCCTTCCTGCCGCAGAATTGATAAAAATCACAAAGGAGTAAATGTGATCAAACCCCGAGGCCAGTGCTAAAGAGCAGGAGCTCAGACCTGGCTCCATGACTGCCTGTTAACAGTCCCTTCTGATTTCAGCGGAAATCTTAGAATTGGCTGGGAATGCTGCAAGGGACAACAAGAAGGCGCGGATAGCCCCAAGACACATCCTGCTGGCCGTGGCCAATGACGAGGAGCTCAACCAGGTATGCCTGGAGCGCAGCCGTGCCACAGGGTGGGTCCACCAAACACACTTGTGCAAGTGGCACAAATCTGCACCCCTGCGACAATTCCCAAACTGCCTTTGTGTCTCTGTGTGTGTCCTTCTCTGCCTCTGCCTTTTTTTCTTTGTCTCTCTGTCTCTCTCTATCTCTGTCTCCATCTGCCTCTCTGTCTCTTTTTTCTGTCTGTGTGTGTGTGTCTGTCTGCCTCTTTCTGTCTCTCCCTCTCCCCCTCCTCCCCTCACCCTCTCACTCTCCTTCCCCCTTCTCCTCCCCTGCCCTCTCCCTTTCCCCCTCCCCATTTCCCTCTCCCTCTCTCTCACTGAGACCAGGTCAGAGAAGAACAAATTCTGCTCCACCATTCAGAGTCGCATCAAGTGGCTCTGAATAGCTCCCGTTGCGCATTCCAGGTCTCCCAGCCCTTCCTCTCCTCATGAGAGACAGCCCAGTGCACGCAGGGCCCTGTGGTTTCTCTACCCCACCGCGCTGATTTATTTTAGTCAGAGCAGGAGAAGCCTTACTTACAGATTAGAACTGACCCCTTCTAGTTTGGAACTGACTTCAGAGTCAAGTGAATGCCCACTCGCCCTAGCACGGTGTAAGTTTTTTTATTGATGTTTATACTCTAATCTCATTCTTTTCAAACAATAGTGAAGAATCTGTTTTTATTGCCAGTCCATCATAGACCGATTTCAAAAAAGTAATAAAAATTGATTTGTAGTAAAGAAAAAAAAAAAAAAAACATGAACTGTAAGTCACAGGGTTTTTTTAGTTGTTGTTATCAGATTCCATAGCTGCAAATAGCCCTTGTGGATTTGCTAGAAAAGGTTCTGGACTCTTTTTCGAGAGTTCTGTGCTTCTGTCCTCCTGGATCGGACACATCCCCTTCAGGCTTGAACTGAGTTCTCGCACAGTACTGGAGGGGTGCTGTTTTGGGGTGTAGCGGTGCATGTCAGTTATTAATAAATAAACCTAGCTATTAGGAAGAGCGTGGTTATTCGGTATTTTTCTGAAAGGTTCCACTCCCTGTGCCCTGTGCTGAGCTGTGAGCCGGCTCAGTCCGACTGTGTTCTCCCTGTGTGAAGCCTTTATGCTCTTGTTATCTGAAATTCCAGCCCCCTAGGCAGCCATCCCTGGCTTCAACTTCTATAGCCCTTTCACTTCGTTTTTGTTTTGCTTTGCTTTGCTTTGCTTTGCTTTGCTTTGCTTTGCTTTGCTTTGCTTTCTGCCTAAATTCATGGGATCCTTGATGCCCACAGAGAAATGCTCTACCAGAAGGGAAAGCCTAAGAAATTGTGCATTACACAAATTCTTTAAGACAGCAAAATCCAGATTTAAACTTCATTTTGCCAACGATTAGAATTTCATTAAATCTCAGTCCAGTGAGCTCTTTGCGACTGTGAGATGCGTCCATTTCTCTCCTCAGCTGTTAAAAGGAGTGACCATCGCCAGCGGGGGTGTCCTGCCCAGAATTCACCCCGAACTGCTGGCCAAGAAACGAGGGACCAAAGGCAAGTCAGAAACCATCCTCTCCCCACCCCCAGAGAAGAGAGGAAGGAAGGCCACATCAGGCAAGAAGGGGGGCAAGAAAGCCAAGGCCGCCAAACCTCGGGCATCGAAAAAGGTGAGCCGGAACGTGCCCGTGGAACCCCAGCCCCCAGGGCCAGCCGGGGCAGTGAGCCTGTGGGAGTGATGGGGTTGCGGCAGCAGAGCCTCCCGCTTGGGATCAGTGCCCACGTAAGAGGCCCGAGGGAGCTAGGCCACCACTTCCTCCAGCAGAGCAGTGAGGGCATCGCGAGGAAGCGGGCCTCGCCGGACATGGAGTCTACTGCTGCCGTGTATGTCCCAGCCTCTAGAAATGGGAGGTACACCACCTGGACTGTGGCGACTCAGTATGTCTGAAGAGACTGAGAGAGCCACAGAACGAGAGGAAGGTGAAGACTGGAACGATGAGGGTGCTCCTCAGTTGCATCACTAAAGGTGGAAGACTGAAGCTCGGAGCTGGGGGAAAGTGACAAGAATGTGTAAGGAGAAGAGCAAAGGGCTTTGCCACTACGGCTTAAATCATCTTAACAACTTTACTAGAGATTTCCAAACCCAGTGCATGAGTGGTTTTCAGATCCTTTTGCCAATGTTAATCAGTTTTCTGTAGCTGTGACAAAACACCTGAGATAATCAATTTAAAAGGAAGTAAGGTTTATTTAGAATCACAAATTTCAGAACTTTTGGCCCCATCACTTTGGGCCTGTGGCTAGGCATTACACCCTGGCAGAAGCACAAATAGAACTGAACTGCGCCCTTCTGGGCAGCCAGAAAGTAGAGGGGCAGAGCCAGGTTCCAGTAGCCCCCTCGAGGCCACGCCCCCAGTGACCTCACTTCCTTTTACCAGATCCCGCCTCTTCAGGTTACCTCCACCTCCCAACAGTACCACAAGGTGGTGACCAAGCCTTTGGGGACCATTTGAGATTTGAACCATTACATTGTCCCCACTGACATTGTAAGAGGCAGCCTGGGACCCCGCTTCTCCTTTCACCCTGGAGGCCCATATTGAGTGCCAAACCATCTCTAGTCTCCCATATTTGGTTCAGCTGATAGAGTCCAGGTGCTTTGGCGAGCTTGGAAGTGACACCACCTGTGAGGTAGTAGTTTCCTGTGCTACCCAGTACAGTAGCCGCAAGGCCCAGGTGGCTACTGAAACAAAATTAAGCCACATTAAAATTTAGGTCCAGTCAGGTGTGGTAACGCCTGTCTGTAATCCAAGCACTCGGGAAGCCAAGGCAGGAGGATTTCTGTGAGTTTCAGGCCAACCGAGGCTACATAGTGAGCTCAAGGCCTGCCTGCGCTGTATAGTGAGGCACTGTCTGAAAAAGAAGTTGAGATTCTTGATTGTACAGGCCCCATCGTAAGTACTCAGTCGCACTGAACATCAGTGTTTCCACCAGAAAAAGTTCTGTTGTTGCAGCAGGGCTGCCTTGGAGGTTGTGAAGTTTTCGCTCCATAGACTTCCATGATAACAAAAGACCCCTGCAAGGGTTCGTGCTACTGCTCCTGGGCCCTAGGGAAATCCTGGTGAAAAGGGAGCCGAGCCAGGCACTGTGAAGCACCCACGTGGCTATGATGGTTACCAAGGCAGGGCAGGAACAGGGTACCTGTGGCCAGGTCTGGGTGAGAAATGCGTGTTTCCTGAATGTCCCCAGGGCCGTGTGATCCCCGGTATGCACTTCATATCGCTTCTCTCCATCGAAGAACAGCAGCGGACTGGGGGTGTAGCTCCATGGTAGACCACACGTGAGCATGTGCAAGAGCGTGGGGTCAACCCAAGGCGTCAAAAGAAAAAATAAAAACCAGAACCTAACACCTAGCCACTTCCTCCCATATTCGGGTTGGTGGCAACCCACCTCAGGCTTTCTCTGAATTATTTTTCATTTTCTCTTCTGAATTTTTTTTTTTTTTTTCTGACAGTCCAAACCAAAGGACAGCGATAAAGAAGGAACTTCAAATTCCACCTCTGAAGATGGGCCGGGGGATGGGTTCACCATCCTGTCTTCTAAGAGCCTTGTTCTGGGACAGAAGGTAATAAAGAGACCCATAAGGGACCGTCGTATAACACCAGTACATTTTTATAACCTGCTGTTTATAGCGGAGTTGCCTCCTTTATTCCTCGCTCCCTTAATATGACTTTCACTCCAGTCTTGAATTATTCATTTTTAAACTAAAAAGCTATGATGATTTCTGCATTGAGAGTGAACAAGCCCTTTAGCGCTGGAATCATTCACACTGACGTTGGTCATCCGGAGTTAAGCACAGAGGATCTTTCTGGTCTGTACACAGGATGCCGTTGCTTATTTGCTGGGAATCCCCCAGGCCCCAGTTATTTCTGCATCCACCAGAAAATCCATAGCTAACCATTTCCAGCAGCCTCAGAGAGGCCTTGCTCCCATAGTTCAATGTAATTTATCAGAGAAAGCAAATAGAAATATATGTTTCCTGAATATCCCCAGTGTTAGCAATGAATTATTTGCCAATAATTCAGTCTGCTTGCCTTCCTGGGCTGCAGAAAGAAAACAAACAGGGCCATACATTTGAGCAGTCTCCAGCAACACAACAACAGCCAGCCAGACATGCAAATAATTCATTCCCACCGGGGTAAAGCTTACTGAGCAGACAATTTATCCATCAAGTCAACTGGGGATGAAATAAGATACACGAGGAAATCGTCCGTTAATCATATCGCTGGCCGCTGAGCGTTTGCAGCCTGTCAGTGGCATGCACTTGCATTCGAGCAGCTGGGAGAGCACGTTTTAAGAAGTATAAGGATAAATGTGCGGTTCCTAATTCATCACTGATGAAGAGAACAGGGAAGCAAAGAGGGGGGATTTATGTCCCCTCCAGGGGCCATCCATGGTTCTGTGATGACAGGCTTTCTGGCATACTTCCCCAGGGAATGGTAAAATTCTTACCTGTGTAGGGAGATGGTGGAGAATGCCCTTCGTCCTACTCTGCTAAAAACACATAGGGCACCCCAAGAATGTGGTCGGTGTGGGCAGATATAGTCAGACAGGAAACCTGAGCCCACCACTTCCCCCGTTAAATGGTTGGGTCCCATTCGCTATGCCAAAAGCTCTGCCCTGCTCCGGAGACCAGAGGCCAAGCCCTGGGCTTCTTCCCCTCACAGAAGCTACTGAGAGGATCTACTACCAATAACCTGAGCCATTGGGGTTGGCAATCAAAAACATAAACTATAAGGGAAAGAAAGAAAAGGGAGCTCCCACTCCTGTCCCTAGGAGAGCAGGCAGATGTGTTGCGTGCTGTTGACCTCAAGGTGAAAAATCAAATCCGTGGAGCTCAAGTGAGCTTACTGCAAACCCAACACCTGGGAAGCCTCAGCCTGTGGCTCCCCACTGCCCTCAAACTGGTGATCAGTAGAAGCAACAGAAAATTAATAGCTGTCAAGTAAAATATGAAGGTTCTCAACAGGATTGCATCTTTCCCATGTTTTCCATTTTTTCTTCCTAACTCAGCTGTCCCTGACCCAGAGTGACATCAGCCATATTGGCTCCATGAGAGTGGAGGGCATCGTCCACCCAACCACAGCTGAAATTGACCTCAAGGAAGATATAGGTAAGGCCGCAGGACTTGGGTAGTGGTACCATGGGACAGCACGCCGTTCAGGCAAGTTCTCACAGAGTCCGTCACTCAGCCCGACATCCACTGCTGGAGGCCTCGTGTCAAACTGTGGCTTTGTGTGTAATTAATGGCAACACTAGAGAGTAAATTATTTTATTTCTGCATAGATCTTGTGAATTTCATACTGAAGAGTTATAGGGAGAGGTTATTAATATAGAGCTTGTCAAATTTTTCTCAAACTGAGTATTACTACACAACCTGTACCTAGATCAGGAAGCAGGTCTTTACCAGCCCCCGAGAAGTGCCCCATCAGGCCCTTTCCCAGCATTATCTTGTCCAGAGGGAACCACTGTCCTGTCTTCTAATAGCAGGGAGGGTTCCTCTGTTGGAATGTTACTCAAATGAAGTCATATACTCACTCCTCTGTGGCTCCTTTTGCTCAGTGCAGTGTTGTTTGGGAAATCCATCCATGCTGTTGAGTGTGGTTGTGTTCATTTTCTTTGCTGTGTAGTATTATGCTGTATGAAAAATACCACAATGTACTGATCCATTTTACCATCGACAACCTTTGGGTAGTTTCCAGATGGGGCTATTAGGGGCAGTGCTATTGCAAATGTTGTTGTGTCTTTATATGTTTTGGATTGAGCATTCCATACATTTTAAGTTTATTGAGAATGCTATTGGTAAAACAGACATCTAGAGAAGAAATAGATGGCCAAGAAAGCTATAAGCACTGAGTCATTTTCCCAGTGGTTTGCCACTTGTCGTGAGTGGGGAAGGGAGCTGCCACCAGGTGAAATCAAGGAGCTGGGAGGTAAGCAGATGGAAATAAGCTAAACCATTACTGTCTCATCCACTTGTCACTGTCTTGTCTGTTTTTACATCTTGTCTGGAGGTGTCCAATGAGAGGGTGAAGTGAGCAGAGAAGGTGTTTTCCCTTGGGGTGGGGGATGGCCTCTGAGGGGGCCAGGGCCCATACCAGCAGCTCAGTCCTGGGGAGCGACACCGGGACCACAGCTGCTGGGCGCACTGAAGACCTCCACCCCCACCTTGCCCCTGGCATTAGAGGCCACTTGCTCTGCTGAAAAGAGAAAGGAGTGTCTTAGTTTTCTTGTTGCTGAGACAAAAATACCCAATACCCAAAGTTAAGGAAGAAAAGGTGTTTGGCACACAGTTTGTAGTGGTTTTAGTCCATCATTGGCTGGCTTCAAGGCAGGGTGGCTTGGTCATCACAGAGGAAAACAGTTCATGCCACCCACAAGACAGCAAAAGCAATAAGGGAGACAGGGACAAGCCTCTTTCTGTCCCTTATATTGTATGAAGGCTACCCACCTTGGGGGGTAAGGGGGACTAGCACTTATACCCTTAATCCCAGCACTGGACCATGAATCAATCACAAACTTGAGATTCAGCCACCTCTGAAAAGCCCACCTCCCCATGACTGCATGAGGTTTTAGGGGGACAAACCATAGCTTTCCATCCCTGATCCCTGCAAAGTCTCCTGTACATTCTTTTATAGCAAAGGCATCTCATCCATCTCCAAGAGTGGCCAAAGTCCTAACAGTTTCAGCATTGCTGAAAAGTCCAAGTCCCAAGTCTCCTCTGAGATTAAGGCAAACTTTTAGCTGTGAACCCTTGCACAAGTAAAAAGAAAGTTGAACACTCCAACATTCCATAATGTAAGACAGACGTTTCCAGTCCCAGTTACACGTGGAGAATACAAAGACAAAATAAGTCCAAAATCCAGCAGGACAAACATTAAATCCTGGAGTTCCATGTCACCCATAGCGATCCGTGACAGGATGTGAATTCCAAAGGACTTGGAAGGCTCCACCCTTATTACTGCCTGTGGCTATAGCTCCATGGCTTCTCTCTTGGGCCCGGTCTGCTCCCGCCTTGCAGCTTTTCTTAGGTGATCCACAATCCTGGCTTCTATAAACATCTGGGGTCTCCACTGCACCTCTGGCTTCACACACTGCCCTCTCAGGGGTGCACTGCCTGGCCTCCTAGGCCTTCTTCTGAAATCTGAATGGAAGTTTTCCTGACCCTTGCACTTGCCAGGCAAGCACTTATGCCACTGAGCTATCTCCCTGGCCCTCTGTCCCCACAGCTGTTCCGTTTTGCATGCACCTAAAATTAGCACCACATGGATGATGCCAAGGTCGGCTGCCAGATGGAGCAGAAGCCAGGCTTCCCTCTCTCTTGGCTGTAGGGGTCGAGTACCCAGATCGCTCAGCACTCTGAATCCTACTCCAAGGAACAGATTCTCTACGCCACCTCCATTCTGGAGCGTGGTACTCCAGGATTCTTCCCATGTGGATGGGGCTTAGCACTGCACGGACTCAAGAGCATTTGGTGACTAATTGTCAGTCTTGCTGTTGCTGTGTGGTGGGAAGCCTTCCTGTCGTGACTGTCTTCCCCACCAGTGTGCAGCCCAGTCACCCCACGTAGATAAGGCTCTGACTTATTATTTTGAAATGCTATGATGGCCTGGAGGTACAGCCCAGTGGTGCTGAGCATGCATAGGGGAGGTAGCCCATCTTACTGCCTGGCATGCGTGAGGTCCTAGGTTCAGACCTCAGTTCAGAAATTAATTAATTAATTAAAGCTAAGGAGTTGGAAGTATAGCTCAAGGGTATAGCATGTGCTTTGCATGCAGGAGGCCCTAGGTTCAATCCATTCCCAGTAATCCCCCCCCAAAAAAATTCATTACATAAAAGTTCACCTAATATTGTACTCATGAAAAAAGCAGAAAAATATAATAAAACCTGATGCAACCAGATGTAGTAATCACTTGTAAACAGTGACTGTACTT